TCAAACATGATGACAAATAAAGTGATGAAGAAATGATGGTAACGACAAATAATAGATGATTGACAGGTACCTATCTGTGTTGATAATGTACGGTATGTAGCAGGAACAGGAGCAGCAAAWACAGCACCTCGCATCCTCTCTAATAATGGAGCCCTGTTCTGTAAACCACCAAACTTGCCTGAAATATTACCACAACAAGTCATCAACAACTTGATAATGTACAAAGTTATGTTAAAATAACAAAAGTTTGATTCTTACCATTGCTACGTATTCTATCCCCTGTTCTTGTCAGAATGGTGGGACAATGAGTGTGCTTCACTACCTAGTATATGTCATTATTGTGTTAACATTTCTTACTTTGCTACTGGAGGATGTTACTTGGGTGGCGTGAAATTAATTTTTTCAGATTTTCAACATGAGAAGATAAAATCTGATCTCAGGAGACCAGGCATGTAATATACTTCATCAGTTCATCATAATATACTTATCCATGAAAGCAAATACTTACCATGAATGTGTTATTTTCACAGTTTTTGAAAGTGAGAAATAGGTATTTCATATGCCCTGGATAATATTATATTTATGCAAATTATTTAAGCTTTTAAGGTTTTGGACTTGTCTTTAAACTTTTTTATGTTTTACCTCTTGTCTGTATTTATTTGCGCAGTCCAAGTCATCTAAGATAATAGTATCACCAAGAAGCATACCAAACACTGTTCATAAAAACACAAAATCAATATCAGACTATTGACGCAGTTATCACTGGTAAAAAACAACTATGCAGTGATCCACCTTATCTTTCATTTTCACCATAACTTATAGCTAAAAATGTACTTTGGATCACTTATAGAAATGATAAAAGCAATGCTATAYATACAGCTTGATGCTTTTTCTTTTGTATATAGCAATATCTTTCTAGGTATTATCAGATTCAAATTTTAGTGTTTAGTGTTTAACTGACCTATTCTACAGTTATCAACTTCATTAGGAAARATCAGTTTGTCCCTTGCATACACAGGGTTCCCAGGGGGACTGTAGTTACGTGGTCCATTTCGAATGTGAGGAAGAGGTCTAAAAAAAAACAAAAAACAAAAGATTGACTGATCACTAAAGTGGTACATTGTGGTTTGTATAGCAGGGCTTACATTACTGGACTTTTTGTTCACATAATCAAGGTCACAATTCAAAATACATAATTCAAGGACAACATAATATATAAATGCTGAAGAGAAGAAATCTTTTAGAAGAGCAAAAAATGGAATAATATGTAAATAACAAAAAAAAAAACACACGATATTTTACCAGGCCACCCAATTCAGCGTAGGCTGGTTTAAATGGGGGCCTGTACTCTCACACTCACTACCTCTACATTAAGTATTTTAGCACACAACACTCCAATAACATTAATCAGACATGCTACCTGGTACACTGGTACCACAAACACACGATACTGGCAATTTCATCAAGGGACAAAGGGTTCCCAGCATAAGACCAATACTCCATTTTCAAGTTCAAAGATTATAACCGCTGTTTTATATGACAACAGATCCTCTTGCACAAAAGTCTTTTCATAAACAAAAGAAACCACTAGAAAATGTTAATACAATAGCCCTAACAATTTTCATTTTCTCCAAGTTGAGGCTAACCCTGTATTCCCAAAAGTCTTAAAATTAGAGATAATTAACTTTCAAGTCTATTGTTATTATAAGTAATAGCATATGACTCTGAGGGAGATTAGGGATAAATGTCCCCAAACTTATCTGCCCGAGGCTGAGGGACATTTAATCCCTAATCTCCCGAGGAAGCCATGCTATTACTTTACCATGATTTCCGAGGAAAAAATTGAAGTTGAACTTGAGCGAATTTGAATTCTTGTTTTTTTGTATGCTCCAATGTTTTCAATCAGAAGTAATATAAACATTGCAACAAACAATTAGCATGAATTGGAATGTGACATGAAAAGAATTGATACGCACTGTTCTAAGAGTATCACTCGCCGAACAACAGTACAAAATGATATTGATAATCTGACCATTGTTACTGATTTCCCACAACGAACTTTGTTTGAAATTGCTTTTCAGTTCTATTCAATGCTGAAGTTAACGAACCTTAACTTCAACCCCGAAAAGTAGTTTTTATATTTGCATAAGTATAATGCCAAGAAGCTTATCAACTATTATCAAACATTGAAATTCATCAAGTGCACATGCTCAGTGGTACGAAGTAGAGACTCGGAATCAGAGCTACTCAGTCAAATTGGCCCAAAAATCATCCCACATTTCAGTGTGACTGATACCGTATAACCAGACCGTTCATTGCAGAGGTAAAAAGAAGACAGCTGTAGGGACATTCAGGTGTCCCTGCTGGGAAGCAAAGTTTTCCTTTGCCTTCCGTTCCTCATGAATAAGATGAGGGACGATTACTAGTAGTTGTCCCTCATGCTATTCATGAGGGAGGGATGTTCGCTTGTAAAAATCCCTCGGAAGACAAAAGAATCTGAGGTGATCATGGCATTACAGCAATAATGAAATTTTCTCATGATTTCTTTTGTTTYTGGTAAGGCTTTTGCACAAGAGAATCTGTTGTCAAAAAAWTCAGCGGTTATCCGCTTTGAACTCGAAAAAGGAGTATTGATGCATGAGACATCAAGAAAGCAGCTTCATCTAGAGGATAAAACAAAATATTTTTGCCCTCTTGGGAACTAGAATCCATTGTTTTGTCCTCCATTTGGAGCTGCATTCCCATGAACTACAAGGGTTTCGTGTTGTGAAGAAACAAAGCAAAAATCTAATAAGCCAACCTGGACCATTCTGGCAATCTCTGTTTGTAGATTGAATCYAGAGGGAGGACCTGTTGTTGACCATTAGATTCATTGTAGACTTCTTTAGCCTTTGCTGTAGTCAGTGTTACTACACAGTCCATGTCACTAGCCATGTGCCATGATAACACACGTGCTACATCATCATCTTCAACTTGTGCAAGATGGGCAACCTATTCAGTCAGCAAGAAAATACTACATTTAATTATAATAGGCAGGTAATTTTCAACCTCAAAGGTTTTATGAAAAATGTGTAAAGCAAAGACAAAGGTTCTACAAAATAAATAAATATGAATAAAATAAGAAAGAATGAAATTGTGAATGAATTGGATAATATGCAATATATTTGCTGATTATGATATATTTTTAATGAAATACATGCACAAAATAATGATTAATTAAATAAAGAAAGAAATGAACGAAAGCATAGATGACAGAAAGAATAAATGGGTGAAAGAAATTTCAATAAAAATAAATGATCAAATGAATAAATGAATGGATGAATGGACAAAAATAAAATGAAATCAAACATTTCCACCTTTCCAAGAATCTCAGGATCTCCTCTTGGTCCAGGATTTAAATTACATTGTCGTCGAGGTGCTTTAGAAATATCTTGTCTCTTTTTTGTTAAAACTGTGAGAAATGCATCCAYGCTTTGTGTCTAAAAAGARGATGAAAAACAAAWTGAAATWAAAACATCCCARGAGAAAAATTAAATRAATTAAGAGAAATATAGTATCAAACATACMGACTGTAAATAYTGRTCAGCGATATGCTGTTTCTTAAGTTCGCCTTTAAGTTTTTGTTCTTGTTGAGCTGCTTCATGCACAGATACTGAAAAAAATCAATTATAGGTAAAGTATGAAATGGAGTTGACGTCATACAATTCAAAATGTCGTTAACTGAAACATATTCTTTAATTATTATCACAATTTTTGGTTTGTATATAGACCATGACTGCATCAAAATCCATTTTACTCTAGATTGTTGGCTTTGATTAAAAGCTAATTACTGTCCCCTGTGTAAAATTCAAGAATGACTACTAGGCATTTCAAACAATAMMTTTTGGTGGTCATTCCAATGTTTTCCAAGATGGTGAGAGTGACCTTTTCAAATGCAAGAGAGAGGCAAAMTGAGAATGATGGGAATGATGTTTTTTCTAATTATCTTTAGATATACATGACAATGTACCTCTCATTTCCTGGATAAGTTGTCTTGTAGTGTCAAATAATGACCTGTAGGTACGGATTGTCTCAAATAAGTGATCTCTTTCTTTGGTAAGCTGTGCCATCTGCTGCTGCTTGCGAACATCTACATAGAATATCAAATAGAAATACAATTAGTATTATTAAAACATGAAAAATAAAGTCATAGACCATATGAAAAAGGGCGTGGCTATAACACCATATATTATGAGTTGTACAATAGAGCATTACTACTCATTGGAAGTACATTATTATAATGGGTAAAATCTAAACGTTTCAATGCTCATACTGCATTTAAGGATCAGAAATAACAAGTGTTTGAAATTGGAAACATCTGAGTGAAAATCAGTAACGTTTTAAATGCTCATAGCTCTACTGATATTCAACATTAGAAAATAAAACTCCTCCAGTTTACTAGTTTAGATATACTGTTTCTAATAAGTGTAAACAGATTGTTTAAGGTGCGCATTTCCCAGTCTTCAGCTCGTTTTTCATAGGCTATAATGCTCAGAGATTTCTTTAGAATCTGGTAACTGGCTAACTCCAGTGTCTATTTTGACCTAGTTTGAGCTGCTGTGTTTTGCTAAATATTAATTATGGTTGTGGCCCCTTATGATTTACATGTAAACGTGATTCCTTTTTTCAGAACAGCCACCTTTCGAATTAAATTAAATGAAACCTCTGAGTACTTCTAGATGTTGAACTACAATTGTTGCCAAAAAAACCTTGGACAATAGAATTATTTGTCTCCAGTTTCCTTTAGTTTTTCACAGTTCTCCCCCTTAACCCCCTTTCATCAATGTTGGGTCTTGTTTTGGATGGTAGTGTATAATGCTAACATGCTCAATGACAACATTGCATTTAAAAGGTAAGGGAGCATACAACTGTCTTCAGGTGTTGTTAAAATGAGGAAGATTTTGTCAATGATTATAGCCATAAATATTGATTGATACTATATTAATTCATAATTAATTATAATTTAATAACTTACCATTATAGAATAGAAAAGCTAGAGTAAAGGGAGGAACAGGGTGAGGAACAGCCTTGGCTGCTAGTAAGGCTTGGAAATTCAGTAGATATTCCTGTCCATCTTTGCCATTGGTGTTTTCCTGGATGTACACATTATGTACTGTTGCCATGCCTTTTAAAAGTGGTACTTCTATCTGGTTATGTCGAGAWGCATTAGCAAGTGATGGGATTTCATCAATACCATCAACTGGACTGGTAACTCTTATCAACACTTTGCCTTGAAGATTTTCACCTGCATTGTTGTCAAACTTGTCCTAAAAAAACAATGCTCTAGTTATATACGAGAACTAACAAAAAATAAGGGTCCTGTGACTGACCATACAATTATCATCAAATTATTGMCAAATATTTTGATGCCATAACATTAGAAAACACAAATTTTACAATTCATGATTCCTTAGCAGAGTGCAGTTGAGCTTCTATTAAGAGGTTAACTTAGAGTTACGGCCATATGTTACCTTAAGATTGAGTTGCAGGGTCTTAACCAGACATCTACTAGCCTGTCTATTAGTATTGGACACAGTTGGGGTTGGTGGTACTGATTCTGGTTCTAAGCGAACTGGAGGCCCAGCTTCAGCAGAAAAAGTTATCTAAAGTAACATAAAAGGGTAAACCATCAACATTTAGTAACATTTTTTCACTTATTGAATGTTTTCATCACGACGTTGCATTTGAGGTCTCATTATTTTCCTGTAAAGAGTACGCCGTTAATTCTCCACTCATAAAAATATTATTCAATATGCAACATACCATTTTACTAGTCAAACATAAGGCACCTCCAGGTCCATACTGCACTACCATACAATGAGGACCAGAGACATCAGGTACTTTGAGGTCCCTAAAACATTCCCATCAAAGAATTAGCAATTAGAAGTGTGAAACATAAGTGATATAAGTACAAAATAAGTGATTTATTTACTGCTATACAACAATAAGTCTTAATAAAGGATGAATATTTTTGATGAGTCAATCAGTTAACCAGACATTATAATTGCTATTTGTGTCAATCAGTTAATAGACATTACTGCCATATAACTCAATAACAAGACATTATTGGCTTTGACACATCAAAGTAAACTGTATACTGACCAATTAATTATCATCATTTTAATATCATTCATAGTAAAGAATAACCATTCAACTACCTAAAAGCAAAAACCCCTTCTTTATCACCCTGTGCCTTTCTGGATGGGTAAAGAGTAGTGGCCTGYAGAAAATAATGCAATATTAGCTAGTTGATCTGTATCACTTGACATGCATCTTGCCTGTATCACAGTGAAAGAAACATACATATTTAAACAGAGTAAAGGTAACACAAAACTACACCATAATAGGCCATAAATATCCGTAAAACCTTATGTTTACTATTATATTTTTTTCTTAGTACATATTAAAAAAGGAAGGTAGAAAAATTTCAATTTCTTTTGAGTCATGACCTTGATGCAATTGATTCATATCATTWTTACCCAAACAAAGCCTTGCGATAACTCAAATTATAATAATTTTACTTCGAAAAGCAACGAATTTTTTTTATACATCAAGTACTGAATAATTTACCTAAATTCTTAAAATAACACACAATTAATTTGAATACAATCATGATTATAACATTGTTTAGTGTGAGGTAGTGTACGTACTCTTGGTGGTGGCTTCTCTGAGGGTGGTCCATCTTTAGTATTCCAGATCTTGAGAACCAAGTCTTTAGCACTGGCTGACTTAAGTACTGTTTCATCTTCTGCAGTTACACTGGCTGTAACCACTAGAACGACCAACATATTGTATATTAATGGCAAAGGACTGATTCTATGGTGAATTGACAGGCCATACAATACATAAACTTGTGATTCTACCTGGTGTACAATCACTCACACAAATTCTACTATAATTTTAATTCTAAGTTGCTTAACTAACTTCTAGTGTATATTCACACTCACTAAAACATTATACATTTTAGCAGACAACATTCAACCATTACACATGCCTGGTAACAATTCTCCTACTTGACAAGCAGCATTACTATCAAATGTAACATTGAGAGCCACAGGCTTGGAAGGATCTGGCTGAACTCTACATGAAATAGAAATATATATTATAATAATATTTTATTGGAAATGTATTTCTCTGATAACAGATGACTGTAGCGATTGGAGAGTGAGAGAGAAATAATTTTCTTAGCAATGCAATGACTGGACACTATTGTGCAAGTGACATTATGTAAATATATAGGAGCTGTGTGTATATCTTAAGATGAAGCAATTTCAGACTGCATTCACATGGGGCCAGTCAAGTTTGAGGACACCTTGGTTTTAGGACAGTTCCCAGTGTTCACACGGATCCATTCATGCTTCGAAGTGACCTGTCCTCAAAGTGGAACGACTTTTTAGCCGGCCTCAAACCTGAACACTTTGCCAGGCTCAGATGAGGCCTCTATAGCTGATTTTTTTCTTGTATCATATCAAATCTACATATTGAGCCTTATTCAGAGAGTGGACTTTGTGAAGAAATTATCATGTTATTATGTAGGAGAAGTTTTTTGTAATAAAAAATATTGGTTGCAGGCTTAGTTAGGACTGTACGAGTACT